GTGGTTGGGCGAAAAGAATATTTTTATGTAAACAATTTTAGGCGTAAAACAAATGTTGTTTTAATTTATTTGAGCGAATGTGTGTGTCTGCAGCTGTTATCAGTGTGATGTGATGAAGTTAATATTGAAAACGTACCTCACACTTGGCTTATGAGTACAGTGTGCAGTAAGCAACAACTTCTCTGTTGACATATGAATATATGGATTTTTATTTTTTTAAAAGCACTTAAATAAAATATAACCAAAAAAAGCAACACTCTCTAGTTAACTTAATTGAAGCACATTATCATATATAAATTTTTAATTACCAAATAAAATTTTGTTTTTCCTTAATCTGTTAATCTGTTAATCTGTTATTCTGTTAAGCAGTTACACATGCAAGTGAAAAGATTACTTTTCAGCTTGTTTATACAATTATACACTTGACTTTCATATGAAATGAGTTAACCATTTAAATCTTTATGCATCGCCAGCAAAAGACGTCTTAAGTCGCGCAGCCCGTACGGCAAACTGATGATAAATTCGTAGTGTTTATCACAAATAAACAGCGAAAGGCAACAACTATTGTGAATTGTGCGTATCACTAGCGAACGCGTACGCTGAAGCATCCCGAAGTGCCTTGCAGTGCAAAAAATCATTAGCGTTCGCTCCAACCAAATGGGCCAATATGGAACTAAGAGCGCCAGCCTAGATGTGAAGAGAAAAAGTTGAGTATATATTTGGAGACTTCACTCAGTTTTGGCCGTGTAAAGCTCTTTCTGTGCGTAAAAGTGCTTTTTAAGTAAAAGTTTTTAATGAAAAGTGTGCTTAAGAGAACTTTTAAAACTTCATTCGAATGTGGAAGATAGTGTTTAATATGAGAAACAGTAAAAAACATATTAGTAAAGAAGAGATTGCTTTCTTGAAATAATTTTAATTTTGTATGGATTTGATTCAATATTGGAGAAAGTTCAAAGTGTAGGTCCAAGAAATAGGTCCGAAAGGCATTTATATACGTAGACATCTAATAGAAGTAAGTCTATAGTTTCTCTTATAAAGCACATTGGCTTTTTATTTTAATAAGAAAATAGAGTAGGTTTCGTAAATGAATTCCTTTAGAGATTGTTTCTGTTAGTTCCAAGTTACCAATTGTTGAGACCAGAATAGAACTGGGTAAATGACAATTAAATATTATTAATATGTAATAACTAATAATTCATAATTTAATTATTTGTTAATTAATAATAATAGTAATTAATAATTTTAAATTTATTAATTAAACAAAATCAAATGAAGTAAAATAAATTAAAGTACGAAAAAAAAAGAAATTAAAATATTTAATGTCAAATCCTTTAAAAGCTTTATACACTTCATTTTTTTATTAACCAATTGATTAAGCAGCTTTTGACTATGCTACCAAAGCTGCAATTAGAATGAACTCATCCGAAAAATAGGAATCACACCTAGAACACCTTAGCGTTCTGTAGAAAGTTTATGATATCCCACAAGAGTTTGACTAACACACGGATAAACCAATCTAATAAAGCGATTCGCAGACTCTATACTGAAAAGAAATAAGATATCTAGAACACACCAGTATTCTAAAGATAGTTCACGCTATTCCACAAAAGTTTGGCTGACTAACAAAATCTAACACGATTATTTAAAGACTTTATACCGAAACTAGATAAGTGACATAAAAATTTACACATGCCTAAGTGACTTTAAATAAGATAAAAGAATTGGATTAGAAATTTACTCAGTAAAGAATAAACTTTAGGTAATACATATTAGACTATGCAATGTATATCAAGGGGAGATGATGTCATTTAAATGTAGCTGATATACTATTGGAAAGGCATATTCCAAAAACCGGAATTACATTCTTCACTATTACTCAAGTACTCAAATCTATAGTTATCCTATTATGTGTCACATTTCTAAATGAGATCAGCTGATAAAAGAAAATATCCGCCATCTGAATACCAGGACATAGTGACTACTACTGAAACTGTAGAGTGGACAACTTGCACACAAAGACTCAGCCATTAGCAATATCAGTTAATGTTTAGGTATTTACATATTAATCAATATATCATGTCTTTGATACAACTTCTTTCCTGAGAAAAGCATAATGAGTTGGGCAAAAGAAATAGCTTGTGCTAAGATTAAACACATCTGTTCATCTATGGATTCATCTATCTATTGTAAAAGGTCATTGCTTAATAGACAGACACACATAGAAAATTGAAATTCTAACTGCAGGACTTTGCGGTCTCTATCAAGAAGGAAAGGAAGAATAATTAAACGCTCATCCATTCTGCAGTTGTCCAGCTTTGGTAAGGAGCAAGGTTGAAATTCTTGAAAAATAAATTTTTGAGGAACCTGAAGCACTATCAGAAATTTATATCAGATGTCATGCAAATTTTTTAAGAAAATCGAATTGATTTAAATAATACTGGTTGCTCTTGAATTTGCAATAGACATATCGTAAAAAAATCATCTGTATACCTAATTGTTCGGAAGACATATAACCTAAAAAAATAATAGCCCTAAGGTAATGCAATATATAGAACTTGCTAACATTCTCTGCTCAGTTTTTTAATACTTAGTAGCCGCGTTTCACAATAGATCAATGATTGTTCCAATTAAATACTTCTCCTCAACTCTATCAAAGCTGGACAAGTTCACAATAGTTTAATGGTTGTTTCAATTAAGTACTTCAACCCAGGAATGTGAAGGAGTTTTTCTGTTTATCATAACTATAACAAAAGTGTGGTTTTGACGCTCTTAAAAAATAGATTATAAAAAATAGATTAAATCAGTTAAAAACATATGTTTGAAGTGCTAAGTGAAAACGGGGTGAATGCTTACAAAAGCAGAATGAATGTTGACTAAGTGAACATTAAAAATTAAAGGAGGTTTTTCGCTTTCATTTATCAAAAGATACATTTAATGTAATTAACTAAATTGTAGGGCATAAAAACTGTATTGCGCTGGTGTTTAATATTTTATATAAAAAATTTTTGTATGCATGCTCCAAGCAATGACGAGTTTCAGGCTATATACGTATCCTACTAGTATCTTTTCTCCCCCACATTTCATTGGGGTCAACAAAACCATTAAAGTCGCCTGCTGCCGTTTAATTTCGATTTATATTGTAAAAGTTTTATTTTCATGTCACTTTGCGTAGTCACACATGCACTAACGCATAAACGGAACAACGCAACGACGCATCAACGGAACAACGCAAAAGTACTTACACATACACATTTAATTAACAGCGAACGCACCGCACCGCATAGTCGTGCGTTTCAGCTTGACACTCATTAAAAAAACGGCGGTGGCGTTGACGGTGTCAACGATGCTTAAGTTTTCAAGTTATTGCTTTCATAAGTGTGTGTGTGTATGTGTATGCATGTGAGTACTGTGTGAATGTGTGATGAAGTGTGTGAGAGCTTATGTTGATAAACTTAAGAAATCATGCCTGAGCTCCCCGGTTTTCTATGCGTTCGCTTGGCCCAAGTGCTGCCAAGTTTACTTTTTCAATTATGCATTTGCTGCGGGGCATTAACAGATTTACAAGTTCGCATTGTGGGAATAATTTAAGCAAATTGAAATAATTTGAATTCTGTGTATTTCAGATATTTCTTGTGCTGGCTGCTCAGAAAATTTCATTTAGAGTTTATGGCGAAAAAGAAATTTTACTTAAACTTTTTAATATTGGCAATGTGAAGCAATTATTATTTTCTGTTATGTTTTTTGTTTTTGTTTTTTGTTTTGTTCTGTGCAGAATTATGTGAGAGACTGAAAGGATGGAAAAAGGATTGTTAGTTATTTTGTGCAAAATATTTAATAATTTTTGTTCATTGCATTTTCCTTTACTCATTTTCGGATTTATAAAGGAAGATAAAAAAAATTAAAAACATAACATTTATATTTTTTCTTTTAAGTTACTTTTATTATAATCTTTTAAAATTTGAGAGTATAAAGCTTAAATGAAAATTATTTTGTGAAAAGAAAATATCCGGCAAAAATGGTGAGGATAATAAAATAAAAACTTTCAAGGAAAAATTGTTTTAATATATTACTTAATTAATAAAACTATAGTTTAATTTAATTACAGAGACCATCCAAACATTAATAAGTACAGATAAAATTGTGATGCTAACAAAATGATTATGTTTAAGCTGATATTAATAATTATTTTGGCAACCCTTAATACTTGCAGTCTCTAAAAATTATTTACGAATAATTATATATAAGAAATAATTCGAAGACCATTGATGATGGGTACTTGGCAATATTTGAAGCAATTGTATGGGCAGCCAAAAATTTATTTAATTAATAAAATAATAAAATTTTGTTGTTGTAATTTACTACTGTTCAATATACGTCTCTATTGAAAATCATAGTTTATATTAAGAATTTATTAGGTTTTTTCAAAACAAATCCCAAATCAATTAAAATAATTAACGTAAAATTGCAAAGCAGTGAGTTATTTTACACTTAGATCGACATAAATCCTATTTTGTATGATTCTTCTCAGCAGAACAGAAGTTTGGTTACTAGCAGATTACCTAGAACTGCAACTAATGTTACTATTTCAACATAATGGTACTTTTTTAATCGTCAAAATCTTAATAGGAAATGAGACTATTAGTTATATTTTATGTAATAAATGTCTGCTGTACCCAACTATTAAATACTGTTTAACTTTTTATTCCTTTTTTGTCTAAAAGGCGAAAAGGCTGTTAATTATATTACTTGGGAAGAAAAGTCCTCTGTCTTTATCTGATAGTAAGAATTTTTCAAAGCGCATCATGTTTCAATTATAATCATTTTGTTTAATTGAGAACATCTTTGACTATAATGTTTAATATTCTTTCGCAAAACTGTTTCAAAGCTAACAATAGATAATCATTATAGCATATAATCATTATATCAAATGGATAGACTAGACGTAAGCCAACAATTCAACTAAAAATTGTTGGCTTGACATGATTTTTAAAATTTTTAAAACTTCACTTTCTAATATATAAGAAATCAATTATATTATACATTAAACGTTACTGATAGTAAATCGTTGTATTTAATGAAAAATTACCCAAAAGTGAATAAAAGTTTTTTTTAATATTTTTACTTTTAACTTTACCCTTTTGAAAACACTTCTCAAATGTTCCGCTTAATTTTAGATTGACTAAGGTGTACAAGTAGTTATTAAGCAATTAAAATTGAAATTGTGTTTTTCAATATTGCAAAATTTTATAGTTTAATTTAACTAATCACAGAAAATCACTTCACCTAAAATAAAAAGAGCGAAGCAGAAATTGCTATTCCACAAAATGAACAAGTCAGCACGAACGATTTTCTGCAATAAAAATGAAGCCAATGCCAGGACAGTCAAAGAATAAAATAGGGTTCATTGGTCAAACTTGGGTGTTTAATAAAATTAATTTTATTTTAGATAATGTATATTGAAAATATAGTTTTATGAAATAATATATTCTTAAAGAATTTCAATAACAGAAAGTTACACAATATATAGTGCTGTTTGATATTACTTTTTCTATTTTAAAATATTTTTAACTAAGAAAAACAATATATACAAAAATTTTTTTTTGTCCCCTACTCACCTATGCGTTCCCCATTTGGTCCGGTTAACTTAGGCATAAATTGAATTTGTGTTCGTCTTTGAGAAGAAGATACTCTGTGACTTAAGACTTATTAACTACAGTCGTAAGCTCAATACGCAATGCCAATAACTTGTCAACTGTAGTTGCAAACCCTACGGGCGTTACTATTCCTGTCCAGTTTATTACTTCACCGCTAAAGTGGAGAAATTCGACGAATATCTGCTGTCCTTGCCGTCGAGACAAACTTCCACCCGATATTATGCACGACGATAAACTACCCACTGAGTTTAAGTTTTTTTTAACAGGCTTTCCTAATCCCTTGTTCTCTGCTTCGACGAGATGGTACACTCCCCCCACATAGTACCGCAATCATTGCTATGTGCTGGTTTTAGTGAGTTCAAGTCTCACACTGCGGCTTTCGAAAGTTTTCACCTATTGCACTTAGTTTAAATTAGGCATTAACTTCTTGTGTCACTAAAGGGAAGCCTGTGCATAACTAAGCCCGCTTCATTCTTCTTTAATACAAGATTTAATTTCAATAACTTGCTGAGTCATGTTAAATATTTTTAAAATAATAATTTTATTTTCTCAGATACTATCGCATAGCGAATAGTAAATATGATAGGGTTTTCTTTGGCAATGTTCAGAGTTGACCAATTTAAGTAAGGCAAAATTATTAATTACGTTGCGAAAGGAAAATAAAATTGTTTGCAATTATTTGAAATATTTTCCTTTCATTTCTCATATTTTTTTAATTTTTTATTTTGAATGCAACAACAAATCACAAAGTAAAACTAAAACTAAAACTGCAATTCGGATTTCTCAAGCAATGCACATAAGTAATCAGCAATTTTAATTAAATTTTTTTATGTCAGTTCAATGATGTTGTTTAATTAAAACTTTGTTTAATTATTGGAAAGCAAACAGAAATAAAAATGAAAAATACGAATGGATTTGATTAGCCTTAAATGTCAGTACAAAAATCATATTACCCTCAGAGTGAATAAATGCAAGTACTTAATTAGAATTTGCCAAATTCTTTGAAATAACAAAACTAACTGCAATAACTTAATTACTCACTCTGTTATTTACGAATATATATTCATATAATAATGAAAATTCAATGCTAGAACGACGTGGGTTATCCTTACTTCCATATAGTAACTTTGCTAGCCAATCCATTCAGTCGCCTGCTGTTTTCAGTTGTTAGTACGTAGTTTTTTCAAATCGTTAGTCACCTGATCTTTGCACCGAAGATGCGGAGGATCTCTAATGTGTTTTCGACTTTCGGATACCGAATCAAACAGCTTTCCAGCGGGAGTAATCTCTTTCATATGCTAGGTATGACCAGAACAGAGTAGGCGCTGAGTTTTAATGTGCTTAACTATGTCAATGTTGTGGTATAGTTTGTACAGCTCATCGTGGTAACTAATTTCATACTTTTTGCCTATGCTACATTACTTCTACTGAGTTTAAAAATAATATGTTGTAATAACTCTATTGATTTTTTAGGTATATAACATATAAATGGTGATACTTACTTTGATCTTGAATTAGTTACGCTCATTTTTAATTAAATTTAAATATGCGCAAATTTGATTTTTTAACGCAAGTGAAGAAAATTTTAACCGATGAAATAAAATATAAAATAATTTTTTTCAAGTATCAAAGTTCTTAATATCAGATGAGGACAGGGAACTTTTCGTTCTAAGTAATAAACATTATGTTTAACAACATTATGTTTAATCGAAGCTTCATTATGTTGAACTGTTAATGTCAGTTGATCTGCACATATGGTCTGGTAATCTGTTAATAACCAAAATTCTCTTCTCTTGAGAAGAATTTTTCAAAATAGAATTTATGTGTAAGTGTAAAATAAGTCATTACCTTTAGTCTTTTGCCTTCCTTATAAATTGAATTATTTAAATAGTATTTTCTCACGCTGCTCAGAAATAGTTTATCAATAAATTTTGTTAACATATTAACATATTTTACTAATCTAATTTTTAGTATTTTCTCCTCATTTCTTTTAAGAACAGCACCTAATAGAATACGATTTAAATCGATGGTATCGAGTCTCTATGCTCCAGAAGGAGTTTAGGATATCTATAGTAGTATTAAAATTTTGATAGTATCATATCTGTTTTATATATTTATTAAATTTTTCTAATAACCTTTTCCCCAAAACTAAATTTTTTAATTTTATTAAAAAAATATTGTTGAAATAATTTATTTAAAAGCAAATCAAAAGTGACGACACTCCAATTTTTCTTATTTTCCAAAATTCAAGAGACAAGAAAAACTAAAGCAATTGATAATCTTAACTAAGACAATTTGAGTGCTTCAAAGTTTGGTGAAATTTTAATAAAACTTGAGAACAAAGTTTCAATAACTTTTATTGACAATGGACAGTTTTGAAGTGAGAATGGATAGGGTCACTTGGAAAGATAAATTATCAATATTGTTGCAGTTTTCATGCAGATTAACTTATTCCGACCATGTAATCAATTATATGCAATATGAGAAACTTTGTCAAAATTTATGTTGTTTCATTATAAATCAATTTATTTTTAGTTTTCTATTTAAATTTAGTGTTTGATAGTGAGAAAGTATTGCAGGATAAATATTTGAACTTCAATATATTTTTTCTCAATAGACAAAACATAATGGCATGCATAGCCTGCAGTTGGTTTCTATAGATAATAGTTTTAAATGTTTATACTAAAGCTGAGATTAAAAGGAACAAATTGAATAAATTTAAATTGATTAATTTTTTTCTTAAGGAGCTCCATTCACAAATAATCTAACTCAAATAGACTCAGTTTGTTATTTGTCTTAGCACAACTGAGCAGTTGGGGGATAACATCCAGCGATGATTTGTAGTTTGAGCAAACGTTATGAGCAGATAGATTAGGTGATGAACAGTAAGTATTTACAAAATGATTAACAGCATTCTTACTTCGAATAGGTTAGGCAGTATCTGGTTGAGAGCCTGAGTTGTCATGGAAGAAACTTTTCCTCTTGTATTTTATATTTCATCTGACAAGTATTTTAAATTTTTTTATGAGAGCAACCATTTTTATTGTGAGATAGATTAAGTTAGGAAAAGTAAGTATTTACAAAATGACTAACACCATTCTTAGTTCGGAGAAA